AGCGCCTTAACATTTTTACATGATTCTTATTAACCTAAAAAATTATTTTTCGTGTAACATTCGGAGATAATTATCAAAATTTAGTTATAGAATAGAAATTTTCTGATAATCTGACTGCTTTCACTTTACTAAAATTTTGCCATTGTTAGTTGAAATATAAATATCAATTATTATGAAATATGATAAAACATTTTTGAGATGCATGATTATCATCGAACTAAAAGTCATTTATTCAAATTTACAAAATTCAAATGGCAAACGACATGAAAATTTGTTTATTAGAATGTGAATTTACTACATAATTTTTATTACATAAAATGATTAATTACTGAAAAAAATTTTCAGCAAATATTTCTTTTATATATTTTTTGTTGATTATAATTTTTAATCACTCCAATTTATTTTCATTAAAACTTTAATTAGTGAAATGTTTGTATAACCTAAAATTTATTTCTCACAATTTTTATTTAACCTAATTATATTACGTGGCGCAATTTTAAATAGTACAATTTTTAATTAAAACCAATTTTTTTGGGGCCTAATTGTAATATGGTAGAATTTTTATGAAGCGAATTACTTAAAAAATAACTTTTATTCAAAATTTCAATTAACAATATAATGAAATATACAAAAATTATTAAATCGCATAGGGTAAAAGGTACAGTGACCGACAACCAGACAGTGAAGGACACCTATGCTATTAAAAACGATAATAACTATACAAATAATAATATTTAATTAAATATCACTAGTATAGATTAATTAATATACAATATTTAGAAACTGATATAGTTGACACAAAATTTTATATTTTCCCCAATATATTTGACTTTCTTGAAAACTAACCTAAAAAAATTTGCTTTATTGATTACAAATTTTAGAAATATGAAGAAATTGTTAAATAATTATATTTTAAAAGCAACTTTCTTTGTACATTAAATCTGAATAATAAAATTTGTGATAATATTAATAAATATCATTTTACTTAAATAGTATATAGTTACCCTAATCTAAATTTCATCTAATCGTATATAAGTTTATTTTCAAAAAGTTCAAATTATTGTTATTAGTATATATATTTTAGATATTGATTTTACTTACGCAATTTGAACTATATATATATATATATATATATATATATATATATATATATATATATATATATATTTTTTTTTTTTTTTTAAGAACAATAAAAAAAGTGTATATAGTCTGAAGAATTATGCCTTTTGGCCACTCCTTCGACATGACCTCTCTTGTTAACTAAATAATTGTTCAACAATATATAATAAGCAATTTGCCTTCGCTCCATTTGATACAATCCTCAATATTTTACCTTCCTTGTATTCCTTTCGACACACTGTCAGGATTCTATGATCATTATTTGAAATATTACATTCAAAATAAGTATTATCTTCACTCCATCAAATAATGATTCTACATCCCTTTAGTCGCCCTTTTATATACAGACAAAGTAACATTTTATATTTGAAAAGTTAAGTAACTTTTATAAAAGGACAAATATTCATTTTTGACATTAAGAATTAAATTTATTGTCCAATATATATGATCTTTCTGTATACAATTATTTTCTATCAATTTGTATAGGACAAAATAATAATAATATACACTCAGTGAAAAAATGTATATATTTTTTTCTGAAAGATATACGTAAATATTTATTTGTTTCAAATAACTTTTATTGGGTTTAAATAAAAAATTTATTTGCATACTAAAGAAAATTTTATTTTCATTTTAAAGATTTTTACTAGATACCTATATAGTTATTTTTTAGATAAATTTTCATTTTTCGAATTAGCATTTGAAAATAAAATTTCTTTTTAAACGAATTTTTACTTAACAGATTTTTTATGTACCAAATTTTTAATTACACAAAATATTTTTCTTTATCCAACTTTTTATTTAAAAAATTCAAATTTAACCAAATATTAATTTAGCAGAATTTTCAGTTATTCGGTTAAATTAGAATTTATTAAATAAAAAGTAGGGTATATAAAGAGAAATTCTGTAAAATAAAAATTCCGTTAAACGAAAATTCGTTATGTACCTAAAAAAATCTGTTAAATAAAAATTAGTTTAAAAAAAATTCAAATGCTTATTCGAAAAATGAAGATTTGTCTAAAAAATAATTATATCTAAAAAGAGAATTGAAAAATAAATTTTCTCTTTGTTTAAAAACATGTTTTCTCATTTTTAAAATGTTTTTTTTTAATTGTTGTACGATAATTTTCGACTAAAATAGTGTCATTTGTTTAAAAAACAGCTCTTTTAAACACAGAAAAAAGGTGGTTAAAAAGTTGTAAAGATAGAAGATAAAAGTCTTTAGGATACAGGGTAAAGGATAAATTTGTGATGGATAAAAATGTTACTAAAATATTACTAGAAAAATGGATGTCATATTTGAGTAAACTGTCTAATTTTAATAAGAATATTAGTAATTTTACACTTAACTTATTAAATCCACAAATTTTATATAAATAAGTAATTGCACATGGAAATATTTTTCCTATAATTATTGTCTATTAATAAAAATATCTTTGACTAATACAACTGACAGCTGACGACAGTACGTAAATAATCAGAACTGGGAAATTACAACTCAACGTCCGTATTGTTGCACGAAAGCAGAGTTGGGTAGTAACTGAATTTTTTGTGCATATTAGGCTCTGTCACTTGTGACGTCAGAGTCGATTCTAGGTGTGACGTCAGAAGCCTGGAGGGATAACAAACAGACGACACAATGTTATTCTTATGGGGAAGAAAATTAGTTTTCACTTTCATCAATTTTATTCATACTTTGAACGTGGAAAACGATTGTTGACATCTAATAAAATTAAAATGTGTGTTGATAATTAATTTTGTTATATATTTGATTCAATTGCATTGATAGATTCTCTGAATTCGTGATAAAATATAAATTTTGAGGTTAGGGGTGTTTGTTTACTAACTTGAAATCTTTTACTGCTGCGGTAATTCCCACTTAAAATATATATTTTATATCGAAATATCTCGATGAACTGACACAGCCTAATATGCACAAAAAATTCAGTTACTACCCAACTCTGCTTTCGTATACAGACGTTGAGTTGTAATTTCCCAGTTCTGATTATTTACGCACTGTCGTCAGCTGTCAGTTGTATTAGTCAAAGATATTTTTATTAATAGACAATAATTATAGGAAAAATATTTCCACGTGCAATTACTTATTTATATAAAATTTGTGGATTTAATAAGTTAAGTGTAAAATTACTAATATTTTTATTAAAATTAGACAGTTTACTCAAATATGACATTCATTTTTCTAGTAATATTTTAGTAACATTTTTATCCATCACAAATTTATCCTTTACCCTGTATCTTAACGACTTTTATCCTCTATCTTTACAACTTTTTACCCACCTTTTTTTCTGTGAAACATTTTTAATAACTTAAAAAAAGTTGGTTTTAGAAAAAACATGATTAAGAGAAAAAATGTTCTTTTTTGTGGGTAGAATTAGGAAAAAAAAATATTTAAAAATATAAATGTTAACTCTTAAAAATTTAAACTTAAAAATATGACACACACTTATTAAGCTCTGCTATATATATATTGTTTTTTTATTTAATTCAATTTCAAATAAATTATATATTTGGTTCGAATAAAAAATTTCTCTATAGATATTAGATAAAATACATCAGGTGAGAGAAGCTGTAATAATAACTTAATTAGTATATTTCTGTTTATAATTAAAATAATTGTTGATTAATTGAATTTGAATAGGATAAGGTATATAATTCTTTCTATATATATATATATATGTGCTTCTCTTTTTCATATACAGTATATGAAATCGCAGCAAACGCGTCATATCAGTTTTATGAAAGAACGAAATGAAAGGATGCGCGAATTTTAATGATTTGATCTTCAATGAAGATAACACGCCCCATTGTAACACCTGAGAAAAATTAGACAAGGTCTGCTTTGAAAAAATTATAATATATTACAGGACACCAATTACTCAATAAAGAAACATATTTGATTAATCTGTTTAATGCCATTAATTTTATTATTATTTAATTTTTATATATTTATATAAATGCGCGCAAACAATTCAAATTCACATTAAAAATTGTGTATATTATAAAAATATTATTTTTAACAAATTTTTTGTAGAAATAAAAATTAAAAAATTAGTAAAAAAAATTTTAAATCTTATTTTTTTGCAATGAAAGAAATGTTGAAGCTACAAAATGCTATTTGGCTGAATAGATTCAAAAAATTGTTTTTTTTTTTTGTTATAAAAATATTTAATTGTCAAAATTATAATTTATTTTGAAACATCCAAATAAATAAATATATATTTCATACAGAAAAAAAATTTTTTTTTTCGTCTATATCGTTGATTATTATAAACATTGTAAAGTTAACCGACGTATATTTGAATCGTTCATCAAGATCGTAATAGTAGCATCACGAATGAAAAAAATTAAAAAAAAATTGAACCAGTTATTATTATCTTAATTTCAAAATATCAATCATTGTTTGAAACTGATACCAATATACTATATATATATATTTTTTTTTTTTATATACATTTATTTCGTATTTTTATTACTATGAAAAAAAAATTTTACAAAGGAAGATAAAATTTCGCAATAGTCGTATATTATCGAGGTGGAACCAATTGAAAGGAACACGCCTTTCGATGATCCATAGCAAATGATGATCATTGGATTGAAATCTCAAACTTTAGAGTGGGTTTACAATATGTTTATAGAAAAATTGCAAATAATGTATAAAACGCATAGAAAATAGCAATCCATGCAGGCATTTAAATTACGTATACCAATACAAAGAAAAAGAATAACAATACTAATACTAAAAATATGAAAATAATAATAATAGTAATAGCGAAAATGCACTTTAAATGAAACCTCCACATTTATAAAAGAACACCCCACTTTTGATTATAGACGTCCTCCCAGGATGATATATCCCCCTCTTTCGCGTATGTTAAACCACCGCCATATGAAAGAAGATTGAACGCTGTCGACTATAAATTCTCAACAAGATTCATCTTCTTCGTACTTTGTTCACCAGTGGCAACTACCATATTAATCAAACGATTAATAAAACATACAAGAATCATGAAGTTCATTGTGAGTGATTCGGAAATATATTTGTGGTGATTTTATACTTTTTAAGTGATTATTATTATTTTTTTTTATTTTTTTTTTCTATTTAGATGCGTTTAATATATATATATATATATATAAATATGTAAAAAAAATCGTGAGTGATTTATAATCGTGGACATTTATCATATTTCTTTTAAAAACAAAATTTGGAATATATATATATTTTTACGAGTGAGAAAAGTGAAATTTTATTTATTTTTTTTTATTTTATTGTACTACTCTCTAAAACTGAATTAGAAAAAATGTTTACTAATTTGAATTAGTGATTCACTTTTTGCTTTAGAATTAGTTAAATTTTTCTAATTGTTAGTAAAAGTTACTAATAATTAGTAAAAGTTACTAATAATTAGTAAAATTTTACTAAATCAGAAGCAAAAAGTGAGTCATTAATTCAAATTAGTAAACATTTTTACTAATTTAGATTTAGAGTATCTAAATTTGAATTACACGGAAAAAATTAATTCAGTAGATTTTACAGAACTATCACGGAGTAGCGGATACAGCTCTTTACGAAACTGAGTGTTGTAAAATGTCACTAAATATTCAGTATAAACAATGAAATTTCTGTAGTTTATCCGAAAATATCCATCACATTTTACAAAACTCTGTTTCGTAAAGAGCTGTATCCTCTACTCCGTCACAGTTTTGTAAAATATACTGAATTAATTTTTTCCGTGTAGTGAGAATTTATTCAATAATTTTTAGTAAAACATTACTTTTTGATTTAGTAATATTTTTTTACTGCAGTTTTAGTAAAAAAAGATAAAAAATTAAAAGAAATTTGGACTAATTTTTAAGTAAAATATTATTTGATTTAGTAATATATTTTTTTTTACTAAAGTTTTAGTAAAAAATGACTCAAAATTAATGGAAATTTTACTAATAATTAGTAAAATTTTACTAAATCAGAAGCAAAAAGTGATTCACTAATTCAAATTAGTAAACATTTTTACTAATTTAGATTTAGAGTATCTAAATTTGAATTAGTGAGAATTTATTCACTAATTTTTAGTAAAACATTACTTTTTGATTTAGTAATATTTTTTTTACTGCAGTTTTAGTAAAAAAAGATCAAAAATTAATAGAAATTTCGACTAATTTTTAGTAAAATATTATTATTTGATTTAGTAATATATTTTTTTTTTTTTTTACTAAAGTTTTAGTAAAAAATGACTCAAAATTAATAGAAATTTTCACTAACTTTTAGTAAAATATTACTATTTGATTTAGTGATATTTTTTTTACTAAAGTTTTAGTGAAAAATGACTCAAAATTTGTAAAAAAAATTCACTTATTTAAATTAGTGAACGAATTCTCACTAATTCAAATTTAGGGAGTAGAGATTTTAAAAAAAGGTTTATTTGCATCGGTATAACCAGAAATATTTACTGACTTTCTGAATTTGAATTAGTAACTCACTTTTTGTTTTTGATTTAGTTACATTTTACTAATTTAAAATCAAAAACTGAGTCACTAATTCAAATTAGTTCAAATTTTTACTACTTCAAATTTAGAGAGCATAAAAAACCTACATTACATTGAATTTAAAGAATGTTTTAACTGTTCCTAGTAAATCGTTTTTTTTGTTAATTTATAAAAAATAATTAAAAAAAAATTTTTTTTTATTAATTGAAAATTATTATTTATTAATATTAATATTATTATTTGTTATTATTGTATCTTAAAGATATATTTAGAAAATTGAAAATTTCATAAAATTTAGTAATTCTAAATTTTTAACAATTTTTAACTAAATTTTTAGTAAAGAAAGTTAGAACAATTAAAACAAATAGTAATATTTTTTTTACTAAAAATTAGTGTAAATTTGTATATAATATGTAAATTAGTGGCACACTTATTATTAAAATTTAGATTTAGAAAACAAAAAATATCTTAACTCTCTAAATCTGAATTTAAAAAAAATTTGTCAAATATAATTAATGAAATTACTTATAAATTAGTAGAATTTACTCTCTAAATAAAAATTAGTAAAAATATTTACTAATTTAAATTAGTGACTCACTTTTTGCTTTAGAATTAGTTAAAATTTACTAATTGTTAGTAAAAGTTACTAATAATTAGTAAAATTTTACTAATTCAGAAGCAAAAAGTGAATCACTAATTCAAATTAGTAAACATTTTTACTAATTCAGATTCAGAGAGCAGCCAATTTCACTAAATTATAATTATATAAGAAATTATAAAGACATACTCTCTAAATCTGAATTAGTAAAAATGTTAACGAATTTGAATTAGTGACTAATTTATTATTAGTATTATTATTATTAGTATTATTAATAACTTTTACTAACAATTAGTAAAATTTAACTAATTCAGAAGCAAAAAGTGAGTCACTAATTCAAATTAGTAAACATTTTTACTAGATTTAGAGAGTAAGAATAAAAAATATCTAAACTCTCTTTTAAATTAAACTGCCGGATAAAAGAAGGGCACATAACTCATTTGAATTACATTAGTTATGTGCCATTCTTTGACCCGGTAGCTCAATTAGTAAATTTTTTTAACAAATTCTTAATTAGTGACTGTCTTTTTTCTATGAATTTGTTAAATTTGATATCATAAATTTGTAAAAACATTGTTTTTTAAGTATAATTAATTAACAAAATTTAACTAATTCGTATAGAAAATTAGTATGTTTTTTTTAATACAACATACACTTCATATATGTTTTTTTAAATTTCAAAATCTAAAATTTTAATTCGAATATGAAAAGAAAAAGGAAGATTAAAAATATTATATTGTATCATATTATTTTCTTAAAAACTTTTTATCATTTTATTTACACAATAAATTAATTAAAATTTCTATAATATACGTAAATAGAATTTTATACACATATATATATAGAAGTTTACTTGTTTTATATTAAAATAATTTGCATTCTATACTACGTTGACCAATTTCCATAAAATTTTTTTTTTTTTTGCAAACCACTGATAAGTACAAATGCATAAAATGTATATTTACAATGCCACTATTTAATATATACGTAAACATAGGAAAACATATATAGAAAGAGAGATAAGCAAAAAAAGGAAAATGTAATCGACCTTCAAGAAGGTTAACTAATTAAAATTAATTAATCTATAATTTTGAAGAACAAGATCAGCGATAGTAGGAAAAATTGCTTGGTTATAAAATCATAATAGTATGTTATTATAGTTCTTTTTTGTTCATCGTTTTATGCGGAATACATTTGTATTAAATTTACATTTATGTGTATATATATACATTCTGAATATAGGTGGCTGTTCTGGCATTAGCGACAATAGTCCATGGTCAATTCAATAGGTACCCATATTATCCTGATAATTATTACGGAAGGCGAATTGCTATTCTTCGACAGACACATGATCAATCACCAGATGGCTCCTATGCTTTCAGGTAAGTTACTCAATATAATAAAACTTCATAATTAATGACAAAAATTTAATTTTTTTTTTGTTATATTTTATTTTTATTCTAAAATTAGATTCTACTTTATTTTAGAAAATTATAATTAATAAATTTTTATATCAATTATTTTATTATATTTTATTTTTTATATAGAATAAGTGTACTAATTACGGCGAGTGCATCAATTACGGCGTGTTCATAAAAAATAACTATTATTACTATTATATTTAATATAACTGTTGCAAAATGATTTAAACAAAATTATTTTAATCTTTTTTTTTCGATACAATTACAAATAAAGATGCACATTTACACAATTATTAATTTAATTATTTGAGATCAAATTTTTTCCCTCGCCATAATTAAAACATTTTTAAGATTTCCATTGGCTTCAATTACGGCGGGCAAAGTATCTTCAAAATATACACTGAAAAAAAATTTATTTGATTCAAATACCGGTTTATTTGGTTATTATCAAATAAATATTTACTTGAATCAAATATTTCTTATTTAAATCAAATATATAGTATTTGCTTCAAATACTGAAATATTTGATTCAAATACTATGTATTTGATTCAAATAAGAAATATTTGATTCAAGTAAGTATTTATTTGATAATAACCAAATACACCGGTATTTGAATCAAATAAATTTTTTTTTCAGTGTACGTAATGTTGGTCACCGTAATTGATACACCGAAACTGATACAAACTCGCCGTAATAGAAAATTACGGTATTAGTTTTAATTTCTCATATTTGTTTAAATATTTGATTTTTATAAAGTTAAAATTTTTTTTTAATAGGGTAAATGCACTAATTGCGGCGCGATTCTAATCAAAACATCTTTGAAATAGAAAATTCTACATTTCTATTTTTATTAAACTAATATTAAAACTAATACCGTAATTTTCTATTGCGGCGCGTTTGTATCAGTTTCGGTGTATCAATTACGGTGACCAACATTACGTATATTTTGAAGATACTTTGCCCGCCGTAATTGAAGCCAATGGAAATCTTAAAAATATTTCAATTACGGCGAGGGGAAAAAATTTGATCTCAAATAATTAAATTAATAATTGTTTAAATGTGCATCTTTATAAGTAATTGTATCAAAAAAAGATAAAAATAATTTTTTTTAATCATTTGGCAACAATTATATTAAATATAATATAGTAATAATAGTTGTTTTTTATAAACGCGCCGTAATTGGTACACTTATCCTATCTAAATAACATAAGCTTTTAGTTTAATACACTGAAAAAAGGGTTTGGTATTGACAACCAAACGTTTGGTTGGTATTTAAGCAACCAAATTTTTTTGTTGAATCACCAAAATTTTGGTTGTCCCAAATCAAAACTTTAGTTAGAACAACAAAAATCCTTTTTTTCTAATTTTGGTTGTGTCAAACAAATTTTGATTGAGACAATTAAAATTTTGTTAATTCAACAAAAAAAATTTTGGTTGCTTAAATACCAACCAAACGTTTGGTTGTCAATACCAAACCCTTTTTTTCAGTGTAAGTCTTCAATTTACTTAATACAATAGAAATGTCGAATTTTCTATTTCAAAGATATTTTCACTCGAATCGCGTCATAATTAGTACATTAAATCCTACGGGATTTTTGAGTGGGTTGAGATTTTTGTTCAAAAAAGTTTTTTTTATAACTGGAATATTTTTTTCGAAATTTTTATGAAAAATAAGAAAATACGCCGAACTACTATTAACAAATAAATATTTATTTGTTTTAAATAATTATTATTTAAGTCAATTAACTGGTATTTGTTTGAAATTCAGAAATTATTGGTCTAAATACAGTTTATTAAATTCAAATAAAAATTTAATTGGTTTAAGTAAATATTTATTTGGTAATAGTAAAGATACCAATTATTATTTACAGGGTCAAACCATTATATTTCAACTAAAGTGGTCGCTGACTAATTTTTAAAAATTATAATACTTTGCAGGAATGATTTTGAAGTTATCAAGATCACGAAATGAAAAGAATTTTATTAAAAATTTAAATATTTATTGTAAAATATGAATTTAAAGTATATGAGGTGCTAAAAACTGTCAATTTTTTAGCCATTAGAAAATATGCAAAAAAACATAGAATTTACCATAAAAATAAAAAAAAATTATTGGAATTTACTAAGAATGAATAAATTTATCATTATCAATTGATATAATTATTTAAAGATGTGAAGTAATATATAAAATATGATTTCCAAGTGCACCTGTCAAATAACCTAATTTTGCGATTTTTATTCATTAATTATAAAAAATAGAAAACATTAAATTAAATAAAAACTTACCAAATATGAAGTTCTTGCCATAAACTTTTAGAATTTCTTTGCACTTTTCTTCTTTTCTATTCATAAGTATGAAAAATTTTAAAAATAAAATAGCTACTTTGTCTATTTTCACTATTTTTGAAAGTCAATAACTTTCTTGGAGAAAAATGAAAAAATATGGGGTTTCGAAAATTATTTAAATACACACTACATATACATTCACTGAAAATTTCGCATTGGTCCCGAAGCTATTTTCGAAGATAAAGTAAATTAAAAATTTCGTATTTTTTAGGCTATATTGACATGGGTTTTAAAGGTATTAAATCAATGTGAAGTTTGTCGTCACCAGTGAACCACCTTCACATTGATTTAAAACCCATGTCAATATAGCCTAAAAAATACGAAATTTTTAATTTACTTTATCTTCGAAAATAGCTTCGGGACCAATGCGAAATTTTCAGTGAATGTATATGTAGTGTGTATTTAAATAATTTTCGAAACCCCATATTTTTTCATTTTTCTCCAAGAAAGTTATTGACTTTCAAAAATAGTGAAAATAGACAAAGTAGCTATTTTATTTTTTAAATTTTTCATACTTATGAATAGAAAAGAAGAAAAGTGCAAAGAAATTCTAAAAGTTTATGGCAAGAACTTCATATTTGGTAAGTTTTTATTTAATTTAATGTTTTCTATTTTTTATAATTAATGAATAAAAATCGCAAAATTAGGTTATTTGACAGGTGCACTTGGAAATCATATTTTATATATTACTTCACATCTTTAAATAATTATATCAATTGATAATGATAAATTTATTCATTCTTAGTAAATTCCAATAATTTTTTTTTATTTTTATGGTAAATTCTATGTTTTTTTGCATATTTTCTAATGGCTAAAAAATTGACAGTTTTTAGCACCTCATATACTTTAAATTCATATTTTACAATAAATATTTAAATTTTTAATAAAATTCTTTTCATTTCGTGATCTTGATAACTTCAAAATCATTCCTGCAAAGTATTATAATTTTTAAAAATTAGTCAGCGACCACTTTAGTTGAAATATAATGGTTTGACCCTACAACGTTTTTAAAATCACAAAATAATTATGCAATTAAAATAACAATGGTGTTATAGAAATAATAGACATTAAATTGCAGACGACAATTAACTGGTCAGTCACCAGTGTTCGGAATGTAAATTACTATGTGCAATTTAGAGTAAAACGTCCGAAATGTGACAGTTTTTTTCGTGTGAGTTTTTTTTAAAGGCGTTTTCACACCACACTAGTTTTCAGTATATCAAAAATAATAAATGCGATTTTTTGTCAAAGAATTTAGAATACGGTTTTCTATTTATAATTTTTGAAAAAACTAAATAGTATTTTAACTGCAAAAAATTGTAGAAATTATTTTTTTGTTATTTTGTTTTATTATTTTAATCAGCTGTTATGACTGCGGGTGACATTTTCTTAATTTCCAGTCAATGATACCAACATGAGCGCGAACTAAATATGGTAAACATAATCTCACTTTTCAGAATTATGTTGGTATCACTGACTGCAAAAATAAAAAACGCCGAGCGCAGTCATAACAGTTGATTAAAATAATTTAAAATATCAAAAAACGAAAAACAATTCCAAAAATTTTTAGCTTAATTAACACCAAGCACCAAGAATTTTTTTTTTAGAGTACCTATAAAAACTGGGAAAATAAGGAAAATTTTCAACTTTAAATTATTTTATTTCGTGTAGTCGTTCAAAATTGAAAAAAAATTACTAATATGGCACATGTAAATAATTTTATTCAATTTTTATCATTATTTTTATTTAATTATTTAATATTATATGTTTTTCAAATTATTTTATTTAGGGGCCATCCATAAATAACGTTGCACTATTTTTCACCATTTTGACTCCCCCCCCATGTTGCACATTTTGCATACATTAGCGCCATTTTTTCTATTGAATGTTGCGAATTCTTGACCCCCCCCTCCCCTTCAAGCGCAACGTAATTTATGAATGGCCCCTTATACATTTTTTTTATTTCTAAAAATTTTTAAATTCCTAAAGAAAAGGAGAAAAAAAAGTTAACAAATTTCTATTAAATCTCTTTATTTATATAGATATTTCGAAAAAGTATAAAATATACTGTTGGAATAATATTTATTCAAATGTTTGACATTCTTTTCATGTGTAAAAAGGAAGCTTATACATATAAACTATAATTCACCACGAGGAAAAGTAGCTAAATGACTAATTAATTGCAACTCGTGTAATTGTCTTGTGTACAAGAATGCAAAATCAATTGGGATTATTGTTTATTATAAAAAAAATAACAATAAGAAACATGTCAATACACTGCTGTTCTACCTTTATATATATATATATATGAATAATCTCGCGTGACAGATACACGTGTAACGAACTTTCACGAACGACTCCTCCGCAAACCATTCTTTGCAAGATATAGAATTTATGATTTTGTCAATTGCTTTCATCATTTATTGCAATATGCATTAAAGTAATTATTATTCTCCTATTCACTTATTAAAAATTTGTAAAATATATTTCATTTTATTTATTTATAAATAGAAGAAAAAAATTTTTTCGCTAACGAATGATTTAAAAAATTGTCTAATTTTTCTAAAATTACTATTTTCCACCATCAAAGTGGAATAATGAGAAATAATTTGTT